AATCCAAATGTTGTAACCATTTCTACCTTTCAATTGTGTGTAATAATTTTCTTCGTGAAATATCACCCATTGATATGTTGACACTGACTAATTTTTGTTAACAAACATATTACCTCTTGATTGGTAAACTGTTGTGTATTCTAATAAAAAGGCTATACATTATATATCGTAGTAGAGGCAAAGATGAGAATCTAATTGAAAAGATAATATTTCTTCGTTCAATCTTTCTGCTTTCTAAATGTCTAAATGGGGATTGTTTCCTATATTAATTGATTCATCAGAGTAGAAAGTTAGGAGGCAGATATATTAGAGATAGTGGTATCTAATGTGCTTACAATTCATAAGCACAGAGTGCTAGTTTTTATTAGTAGGAAAATGAATGTAGGAAAAGATGGGTGTGTTTTGTTGTTGATAGTGTAGCATATCAGGCTGGACTGCTCTCTAGTAGAGGCCTAAAGAACTTTTAAAAACATTTAAAAAAATTATATTTGTAAAGTCTCAGCGATATTGAAATGAGTTATTCCAACGTTTCCTTTGGCAATCTGGTACGACCTTCTTCAGGAAAATTAATCTAAATTAACATAACAGAGGTTTGTACATAAAAGGAACATCTCTTGTTTGCCGAACGAAACGTTGGAATTAATCATTTCAATATCGCTGAGATTTCACAAATGTCTACTTCTCACTCGGCGCCCAAATCTTTACTACAGCTCATCTGAACTTTTAAAACAGTGCTAGAAACTTTACCGATCCTCTTTCTCTGTTACTCATAAACCCGCACAGACTTTTTTATCTGATGTATGCCTGTCTATGCATCTCTATCTCCATTTATCCCACTACCTTGAAACGAAAACACCACACGCACACATACGAATAACGCAGACATACACGAGCATACACTACTACTCTCATGATTTCCTCTCAATAGGCTTTCTGGTTAATTCTGTTCTCAGCAGTCTCACTTTCTTAAGAAAACTTTCACCTCATCATCATTCCAATATATATTAAATAGTTTCATCGTAAAATTTAGAACAACACATTCAAGCGAACAATATTGTTTTCAATTAGATTTCATCAGGCTTAACTCTAATATACATAACTTCACAAATAAAAATTCAAATAATAACGAGTCATGGTGTTTTGTCAAAAGAATAATAAGATGGTGAATATAAATTGCGCTATTAGGCATAATAGTAGTGATGATAATAATAATTAATATTATGGTTTTATCAATAATAATGATGGAAAGTGAGGTGAACTGTGGGAACACGAATAATGAAAAACAGCGTGATTAAACAAACAAATGTGGTTGATAAAGGCTAGTAAAAACAAATGATGAAAGCACTTTGGATTAATCACATACAGCTTAAACTGTGTGTACAAAACTCAATAAACTTCAATCTTCGCCTACCATGGACTACATGATCTTTTAAATATGACTCGTCATTAGTATGTACTTTTGTGTACGTTTGAGTAATTGTCATGATCTTTATTTTATTATTGTTAACCATGTTAGTTGTAAAGCGGTTGTAAAGAAACTAAGAAATGATTTCATCTCGCGAAATTTGTATTCTTAATGCCCTATTCAAATTTATCAAATGGATTAATTGTTTTAATTCTAGATTGTAAGGGTAGTAAATGAAACACATGTAATAAGATTAAGGGACGATAAGAAAGGGGTAGAATATATAAGTAAGCGGTAGTGTACAAGTAATCAGTTGGTTATGTTTTGATAGGTCAATGGAGGGATAATGGCTGTGGCTCAAAGGCGTAGGGAGAGGATTTCTCCAACACGCTAAATACACACGTGCACAAGCACAAACACATATAAACACCGATTGAATCACGCTCATTCACTCACTATGACCACATTTCTACCCATAAATTCATCAATCTCTCTCTCTTTCTCTGTCTATCTCACTCCTTCTCTATTCTCCACATCCTAATAATCAAACAAGACTTCAGTATTCATTACTGGAGAGACAGACTCTTTTGACTGTTGCATGTATTCTTCTCTTATAGTAGTACAGTTCTACTACGAATTCCTGACATCTGAACCGCAATCAATGATGAATCATCATCATCAAATCGTCATCATATTTATCCACTATTCTTGGTGTCTTCACACTTCTATGTAGCTTGTATCAGTTCACTGAATGCCTTCTCCGGGCAGACACGAGATCACCATCACCTCATCTCATCTAATCTGAATTGAAATTCATCCATCGACACATCCATCAGAAAGCTGGCAAACTTGCATTCTCATTGCAACTGAGCTATGTAGGCATTCACCGAGCGAGCAGTGCATCACTGACTTCATTTATACTTCATCAGAATTTGTTCACTCCTCAATAGCAAAGTCATCAATTCTCCCATCAGCTTATCTTTCCCGTCTAATCGGTTGCAACCACCACCTAGTCAACATAAGGTGACAGTGAAGAATCATAATCCACTGAAGTCCCGAGTCACATTAATTATTAGGCAGTTATAGTACATTACAGGTGAGTAGAGCATATGCACACAGTGTGGTGCAGTACAATTGGATTCCACAATGCAATGAAGAAATTCATCTGATAATGCAAGCATACAGTAGTTAATTAATTATTTATTACTGTATCAGTGTTCGATTTTTGTTCAAACGAAATTATATTATCATGCATTGGTCAGTGTTGATGCAGGCTTGACTGGCCGAAATCAGTGCTTCCTTTAGTCAGCACCAAAAATCACCACTCGATCATTGTTGTCATTCACTCTCCTGCTCATAAGTTCCCACTTTATGTGGTGAAAATCTGACTGCTAAATTGCCCGACTCACTGACTTCTTTCTGACTTATATTCACACTATCCCATAAATATCCATCATGGTGTGAAGGCTAACATATAAATAATTCATATACAATCAGTGATAAATGAAAACAAGCACACCATTTCATCATTACTAAGATAATCAAGGAGCAAGTAAATTTCTACTATCAATTCAATGCATTCTCAGGTCTCCTTATCTGGCTCTTTCGCCCTATATAATGTTCGCTCGCTCCCTCTATCCCTCAGTCTCTCACAGATTATTCAGTAAGCGACGTCATGATGATGATGATTATCGAAATCAGGCATTTTACAATCACTTGACTACGAACATACTTATTTACTAACTAATTCACATGTCCCTTCAATCAACGACTCAAAACTCTCCTCGTTCATTCATTCATTCATTCGACAAACTGATCACCATGCAGCTGACACACACACACACATACAAATAGATAGATAGACAGATAGACAAACAGCCAGATCGATAAACACATAAAGTCACTGAAGTATACCCTGTGTGTCGGTTGCATAGCGGTTAGGAATCTTGGTGACCATGCACGTGATCCGGGCTTCGATCTCATGCCGACTAACACCTAATAATAATGAATGGCCTGCAAAATGTGGGCTACAGATATCATAGCCTGAAAATTCCATACTTGTACCAAACATACAGTGTGAAATCCAGCGATAATAAAAATAATAAAAACAATAAAATAGGCAGGTGAGATTTTGCAAGTATCATCGTGTCAAGGCCTACTGAGCTTCTGACTGACACAGACTAGAGTCGCGTTTGACGATTGAAAATCTTATCAACGCATTCATGTGCCCATCATCCAGTTGTTGATTCCATATGTCGCTTTTTGTAGGAAGCAATATCTCTACAACACGGCTGTGATGTAACGGGCAACTCTATGAATTTTGTACATCATCTGGTATGTTGTTAACGAAGTCTGTATTTCACAGTCTTTGCTTTAATTTGACTAAACGTACGTATATATAACATTCAGGTTAATTGCCGTTCTACTCGAAATATCTGGGAGATTTGAATAACTTTTTGATATTCAGTGTTATTTTGAGCACATTTAAATAATTAAGAAATTTAATATTGTAGAAATAAGAGCTCTCAAAACATAAAGTTAGATAAAATGAAGCTTTTAATTCCGTCATTCTCAGTCCATGATATTTCTTCATTACATCGATGACGAATTCGCTGCATTCGAATGACGAATAGTGTAACTAAGAATTTACATTCACTATGTAACACACGAATTATCAACCTCTGCGTGGGAGGTTCTTTACAAGTCACCTTTGAAAATGTGCGTGGCAAATAACATGAACATGTCGAGGTGATTGGATGTCTTTGTGCGTATACGTGACTGGAAACATTTGTCAATTAATTACACTTCTCCTCAACTTCATTCAAAAAACATAATCCTCAAATTGTGCCCAAGTGGTCAGCCTTTCTGTTCTAATTAGCTACTTCATTCCCTCATATCCCTTTCTACTAGATAGACAGAAAAGGCCAACTGAAACAAGATCTTACGAGGGAAAATGTTATATTTAGTGAAACATGAAAATGCACAGTAAAATAAAACAATGTTTTCCCTTCACCAGTATTGCTTGAATTCCCTTAGAATCGAATTCGCTTTCCTGCAACTGGAACAAAATGAAACCGAAATCAAAGTACAGTTGGGTTGAGAATAGACACGTGTCTTGTATAGCAGAAATTATTGTTGGCAATTTTAATCTGACTTGCAGTAATACTAATCTTAAGGGAATACTTCCAGTGAAGACTGAAGCGCACATTAGATGCGTGCATTTTCTGGTTGATTCCAAGTTGCAATCACTTCTCACAGGAAATCAGCTATGCGAACCACCATTTGAATTTACGATGTTCTCAGCAGTTGTTACAACCCGGATATTATGTACAGCCGCCGATTTTGATCGTGTGACCAGTGAGCCAGTAAATCAGTCATGCTGTTCGTCTACACTAATAAGGGATGCAGAAATGTGATTGAACAGGAGTTCAGTGTAACTTGTTAGTTAGAAATTTAAAATACCCTGGTGATATATGTAGAACTTACTTGACTATTACTGATTTGCATCCTCCTTCATTTCAGCCAGGAGCCATTTTATTCCATCTTCTCGTGTTTGAACTAATCCGTTCTAAATCATTTCAATATTTCAACTTACACTTCAAAAATTGAAACCTCTTCATTTCCAGTAGTTTTATTTTGTCGCCTAGTTCCTCTAAAACAGTGAATTGATTGTCAGTGATATGTGAGTAGCATTTTTAATGTTATCCTGCAACAATATGAAATAAAGCTGAAATCTCATTATGCTCGATCATGTCATGTACTTTCAATGTAACTGTTATTCTGAACTCAGCAACATGTATGATTCCTTTTTGTTTTTGACTTTATTGCATGATGGATTGTTGAAGTAACTGAGGATTTATCGTTTTGCGTATCTTGATAATATGAAAATAGCACTAAATGAGCAGTAAATTTACCGATTTTGTGCATACATATTTTAGACCTAATCGTCAGCAACTCTCCAATAATTTGCAGATTCCAGTATTAGCAGGACAAGTACTATTGCTAATTTTATCAATGATATAGCCTAATTTGGTATAAGGAAATGCGACGACTTGATAATATAAACGTCATTATCCACACAGGCTAATTTTGCCTCTTGCGAAAATGAAATTCCCTGAGAAATGAGTTCATTATCAGAACTGTATAACATCAAATGTGATCGAATTTTAAAGACAATGTAAAATTACCTGTGCCGTCGGAAAACTCAGAACGAGCCTTCTCATAGGCTTCTGTGATTTCAGCCTCATTCAGTGTGTCTGAAAGAAATAATAACTTGTTATCAAACTCATAGTCGCCTACGTACTTGACGGATATGAAGAGAAATACTTCATACAAATACATTCAGTGTGGAATGAGATATGTGCAAGTAATTTTCAAGCATTGAATTTTCAATTAGTAATTAAATTCCTACTTCTAATTGTCGTTCGGTATTTCTGTCCTCTTTACCTTCACATGATCTTCGAACAAGAGATCTTCAGAAAGAGTTACTGTCAAATTAAAATGTCATGTGATATTTTGATGAAATGCTTTCATCCCTTATTCGATGTTTGCTTGTTGACACTCAAATGGTTCATTATTTGAAACTACGAGCTAGTCCCTCTCATTCAATTATGATGATCACATTCTCTGGTAAACATGAAGTTCTGAATTTTCTTGTTGTCGAAGCCTCATTATTTTCAATGAAAGATGAATCGCATGGAACTAAGTGATGAATACCTTTTTGCTTAATGATATTTTAGGTCATGTTAAAACTGATTGCTCACCATTTGTGGATATTCCCATCCCCACACCTCGCAAATAAGCTAGGTAATAATAATAATAATGCAATCATATGATTATGAGAGATACATTTTCCTAGAAACGTCATCCACTTGTGAATATTGTGACTATACGTGTTATATTCACTAAAATAATCCAATATCGAATTAAATTCTACCACAGTGTAAACTTTTTCACTTCTACAGTCAATGTCATCTTCACTATGATTATCACACCAATATTTTGAGGAGCCTGATTCACGGTCTACTCTTCCGTATGCTTCCAAGTGTAAAGCAAAGTGCAAGCCGATCTTGGTTTCCCGTCATTCTTACATTTGAGTGGAAATTACTGTGTGTTGATGGTCAATTAAATTACGGGACTTTTCATATATAATCATCACCACGTTCATCCAATAGGTTTACACATTACTCCTGTTCATGGCTTCATTACACCATAAAGTACGTTAATCAAACTGATGAATATACATTCACTCACTTGACGTTTTTCGGTATGCATTAGATGCGATGACCGCTGCGGATTCCAGCGCTTTAAGTTTAGCTTGGAAAACAAGAAGTGTTGAATGATATTTAAACCGTTGGTCAAGAAACTTCGATATCATGTTCGTCATCATACTGAATACAATTTATTGACCATCCGAAAACGTTTCATAATGATGTGATTATTCCTCAACAGGTTCCTCCTGACAACAAAGCGAGTACATTAGTCTTCAAAGGTTCGGTTCACTTCTCATGAAAGGAATGCGACTCATCGGTGATAAAACTGGTCTTCCTAATATTTTAAGATGATATTATACTAATAATGAGTAGGCTATCTAATATAACCTAGGCAATGTGTCTGTTATTCATGAGTAAATAGATCGCCTAACGACTGACTATAAACACAATGACGAATGAATTGTCATACTAACAGTTCATTATTCGTGAATGTAGTGTGCAATACCAATTTACACAATTATTTTACCTTTGGATGTATTCACTGCTTTCTTTGCTTCTCTGAAATCCTTCTTTTTTATTCCAATCTCAGCTATAATTTCACAGTATCCAAAAGTATGAAGTGTTTCATTGTGTATTCTTCAACGTGAAATATTCCTAATAATGCAATGGCTACTGACTGTCACAATAAATGCCTATACTGTTGATAATGTTCAACTTACCACATGATATTTTGAATAGTTACTGATACCAGTAAAATAAATACTTTCACTAGATGTAAACTGTATTTCTACAGCATCTGTGCCCATCTTCAATGTTGACTCGACTTTGTCAATATGGAACAATAATCTTTTTCGTAGAATATTGAACTTGTACACAATAATTTGTGAAATCATTGTATAAAAATATGTGTCGATGGTTTCATATGTAACAAAGTGTATTTATAAGGACATGCTACGTTTTCAGCACTGTCTGCATGATGAGGGCTGATTTGATGTGTGCTACTGGTAAGAGTTATAAGTAGAATATGAAGGTAAATTCATTAGATTAAAAACAACACATTGCAAGGAGATGGATTTTAATTCATAGAGAGCAAATGATTCAGCGGTACGATGAAACATGAGAAACCCGAAAGGAACAAATCCTGAATCACAACAGAAACAATCCAATGACACACAAAAGAAATTGCATACAAACACTAATCAAGAGGGTAAGGACTCATTGCAGCACTCCCACCTTATGGAAAATTGAAAAAACACATCTCATGGACGTCTTCCAAAAGAATGGATATCCACGGAATTTCATCAAAAGGCATACACCACCAAGCCAACCTATCAAACCAAAAGCCATCAAGGAAAGCACAAAGAAAATCGCCTTACCATATATAAAGGATATCTCAGAAATTACTACAAGACCCTTCAATTCTTTAGGAATTGACATCGTAAACACACCAAAAAAGTCACTTCACTCAGGTCTATGCCAACCAAAAGACTCAACGGCGATAGAAGATAAAACCAACATCATCTACAAAATAAATTGCGACAACTGTGGAAAGCACTACATTAGTAAAAGTGGACATCCTCTTCATCTTTGTATCGTCGAACATAATCTAGTCGTCAAAAGACATGACATCCACTCTATCACTCATATCGCCTCACTACATACAGACAACCAAGGTCATCAACTCGACTGGGATAACCAACGTTCAAATATTAGACAGAGGAAACAACAAGAATGCTAGAGAGCTTTTAGAAGCTTGGCATTCCAGTGAATCATCAGTCAATAGACACAGAGAGATAGACAAAGTTTATCAACCGATAAGAAAGAAACTTCACACACAATGGGTCAAAGTTCAAGTCAAAGAAACAATCAGTTCCAATACGAGTCACCTAGAAGGTGTGAAAACACACGAAAACAACCAATTACGTCCAAGATCATCAGGAGAGATGATGAATAAACTCCTGAAGAGATCTAAAAGCTCACTTCAAGTTGAAGTATAAGCTGAAGATGTCACCCAATATGACGATGGAAGCTTCGCAGAATAACTATCTAGTTCAGAGAACACAACCACATCAAACCAAACCTTCATTCTCCTACTGTCAAACTGATACTTCACTGCGTCAATATATCTGTGTCCAATATTTATGGGTAAAACATATTATTTAAGGCATGGATGTTCAACAGACACACACACATTTCGCAACAAACAATACTAAAACAATTTTGTACTTGTTAGTGAGAAAATGTGAACAACAGTGTTCATTTTCACAGATACAACTTCTTACTGCCCGAAAAGATGATATTTCAGTTAACACAGTTCCGATGAAAATCCACCTGTCTATAGTCCGATACTGTAACGCCGGTGTTTCGTATATCAGAACTGAATATCCTGATGCCAATGAATTCGGCAGGGATAGTTTTCGAATGCATCGAGACAGCTTTTCCACATATTCAAACAAATCAAGAATTCAGTTGAACAATCAACTAGGTGCTGTATGTGAATGTCACCAAAGATATTCAGATATGGTTTATTACGAATAAGTATCACCACATTTCAATGGAATTGTAAATATGTATGTTAATTAGATCAGATGAACTAATATTCACGAAATCAAGCGAGATATTTCAGCAGAGTTAATAAATTAGGAAAAATTAACTTCTAAGTGAAAGAAAACCAACCTCTGTATTTTCTCAAATTGTCTGACGTCTCCGTGAAAAATTTTCCTGCAAATGATACATCACACTGTCATTTAACTTCGAGTTGTCACATGAATCCAAAATAATCATAGTCGATTTATTCAAAGAATGGATTCAGCTGACGTCAATTCAAATGACACCATAATAATTTACTCGCTTGCTGAGTATAAAACTTCGTTAGGAAATGGTATTGAACCATCGCGTAAGTGTACTCTCAACCACATATGGATGGCAAGTAGTCGATTTTCGACTTATTCGAATGACAAAATATGCAGAAATGAATTTATGAGTGGTGATTCCCTACTATCACTGACTCCCTTAACTACTCTCTGTTATTTTGAAAACGCTTTAGTGCTGAGATACGATCATCATTCTCTATCAAGTGTGAATATTAGTGCTGGTGAGAAAATCGCAGAATCCAAGCATTTTCAAAATACACACTATCATGCCAATAATTCAATGAGGTAAACCAGTGAATTGCGCAGAACAATCCAACAATAAGTCCTTTTTTCCTTCATCGCCACTCATTCATTCTGGATTTGATTTAAGACTGTCAGTAAATGAAGTATCGTGTTTTCCCTCTCGCCCATTCAGAATTCATACTCGTGAACGTGGCGCTTATGCCGAAATATCACCGTTCCAATGTGCATAAGCAAGAGACGTTCACTGCGACTTTACGCACTTCGCCAAATTACAGAAGAAGAGTATTTACTTTCTTACAATATATCGAATAACTTACTGCCTTTCTAAATAGTGGAATCATAAAAATATTACCTTCTGCGATATCGAGCTTTTTTCGATTTTCCCATTTATTCGAAATATACCTTTTCATACGATTGTATAACGATCTATGAGCTGAAAGAATAAAAGTAAATTCAGTAGTTATAATGATTACTCATGAGGTTTGTAAAATTGGGACCTCATGATTGTTTGAACAGTAGTCTAAGCGTGACTCAGTTTATATGACCTAACAGATTTCATCGTAATATCAAGCATCACCCATCGAATTCACCTAAGCCATGCATAACGTCTTGTGAATGTGGTAATATTTTTGTTGAAGATTAAGAAGCGAGTTGACTACATATATACAATCTATGAAAATTATCATCAGTTGAAATGATAATGTCATCAATCAGTAGACAAATGACCTGGAGATCTTATGAATATCATTGAAATGTGATCAGTCGTAACAGTGGACCATAATATTGAATCGATATAAGGAACAAATAAAGAAGACGTTCACCTCGATAAGCAATATCTTAAGGGTAATCAGATTAGTCCTCACGGGATTCCTCTGATGAATATTTTGTTAGAGGAGTGTGGCTGGTCTGGTTGAAAAGCAAGTATGATTGTAGATTAAAACTATGACTAGACACAAAACACCAGGTTAAAATATTGTGTACATTATCCATAGAACCTGTCACCTTATTTCAATGCACCGATAAATGTCAGATTAAGAAGTAATACGAATTTTAGTTAGGAAACTCAATCATACCAAAAATGTTGTGCTGGAAAGCAGTATCGTCTTCCAATGCCTTCCTGTATTCATCTATGAGAAAATGAAGCAATGTTTGGTAAATATTTCATTACTCGAATCGCCAAAAATCTACAGCATGCATTAATACATTTGATAGTAGGAAGGTGTGAATTAAGTTCACCTATAAACAGATAACATTTCGTACATTAAAAAAGTTTCATTACAATCGAACAGTCATTTTTAAATAGAATAGCTAGGCACACCTCTCTCAGCAGAAACCATGAATGAATGTTGCCAGTATGGTTGATTTGGTTTGAAGGGAGACAAATCGTGAGCGAATCTCACTGTACAACTGCAAATCATCATATAATATGGTCTAGAATGGAAGTCAACTGTTTACCCCATCCTTATCAAATCTGCGAAGACTTTCGACAGATTCGACGCTGAAGTACCTTGTTTGCTCTACCAACACATCTGAGTGCTGCATACTCTGATGCTTCTCATCCAACAGGCATATGATTATACCAAATACGAAGTACTTCACAATGCAGTGTTTACTGGATCCCTACAGGTTAAGACGAGGACATCTACTAGCACCTACATTATTACTGTACTAATGTTCTGGACTCAGCCATTCAAAACATCATTGAGAGTACGCATCTCGATGTTTCACCCTGGAAATCAGAGAACGAATAGCAGTAGTAATTTTGTAATCTAACAGATTAACTGTGGATTTGTTCAACAACTCGACATTTGATGAAAATTGGAAAATTAGATATAATCAAGGAAATCTAAGTTTCCAAGTGATTCAAATGAAATAAATGGCCTTAAATTGTATTTGGAATGTTATCAGTGATGCATACTGTTTCACTATATCATGCATGTATTGAACAAGCTAATATTGAAGAGGACATTGTCGAGAAAGTGGATGGTGGAGGAAATTGTTTCGCTTCTGAATACCACGTCACTCCTGATTGAATTGGTGACATATTTAAGATGCTTCATTATATGGATTAGATTACATTCCCATAGACTAGCGATAACGCTTTCACTTGTTACCATTATCAAGATAAACATCTCCGGTGACATCTGCTGCACAAAGAGATTTCAGGCTGACATTCATTCAACAAACAGTAACAAGATGATTTTGTCTTCACATACCAAATGATTTGTCTCATGCACCTCGTCTCTTATTTTATGATGATATAACCTACCGTTATAAAGATTCATGAGCTTCTTATCTTTGGCACCTATTGCTGTAAAAGTGTAGATAATGTGGGTAAACTATTTACCGGTACTCAGAAGCATGATAAGAAAGGGACAGAAAGGAAACGTGAAATGCAGAATTAGGGTTTGTGAGATGTAGACATTGTATCAAAGCAACTTGTTTGAGGCGTTATATAACTTATCCGTCTGACCATATTTTTTCTGCACTGAGAAGAATATGGGAAGGTGAATCAACAGCTTTTATTCAACAGATGGCCAAGTGTAGTCACATTTTATGTTGGAATTGAATATTTGATGATATGAGAATTCAAAGGATGTGTACTGAAGTACATTGGAAAATGTGCATTCCTCAACTCGATGTTTCTCCCTAACATGTTTCACACTGTTTGTTAAGGGCATTTTATGGGATAATGGCGACTGTAAAGATCACTCTCTGAAGTACTAGTTGCGGTGATTTATTTGTCCGCTAATTGTATTCGTTGGGCATTTCCAACGACACTGGAATTCATCTCAATTCATAATCCATTATGTTTGACTTCCGTGAAAATCACGCCTTTATTCAAAAACAGTTCGATTAACATGCATGAGAGGACTTACATTCGAGAAATTCCTTCGCCCATTTACTTTGATATAAGTGTTCGAGTCTCAGGATTTCTGTTTAAAGTGACGAAAAACACAAAATTCGTGTATGCTATTATGTCGGCCAAAACAGGGTATCTGTGAGGGAATTTCGACTAGCGACATGACGCTGTGTATATATATTTTATCCTCCATTTGTCTTTCACCTTTTTCACTCCTCATCCTCTCCTGCTCAAGTTAACAAAAAGCTTACTGGATGTTCGCTGGTCTTGCATGTTGAAGACCTTTTTGAGAACAACATATTTTGTGAAAGGATTGACAATTTGTGTGTTGTGCACTGTGAGTAACCATGAATAGTCAGCGGCACACTTATGTCTTTCCAGTTTATTACTGGTTCAGATAACAAGTAGATGAAATTTCGTGCCTATGACCTGTCCTTTAAAACCTCTAGATGACGACAGTCATGCGTGTTCAGGTGTCGGCTAATCGATGAATAATTACCTGTCATATCAGTGTAATTCTCAAGAATATGGCGTCTGCGGAATGACTCTATACTGTTTACGTTACTGAAGAAGGAGGCCCTGGAATATATGAGGCTGAGTGGAATGAACCAGAATTCAAGTAAACCAACTCATGTCCATCTTACCAAAAATAAACTCATATATCGTCCTATTGATGCATCGAATACTTTGTTTACCCACTACCCAGTGATTTATTTCAACTTTTGTGTTCATCATAAATCATGGAACCGTGTTTATTTTAACTTGTAACTTAATTTCGACTGCATTTTCGTAATCGTGCTCCATTATGCATCGCCTCTGAATAATGTATGAGTACAGTTACTCCGAGTAAAGAAAAAACAGCAGCTTTCCAGATTCAATTGTGGCCATCATTTATTTATTTTGCTCCTCCTCAGCTTCTCAAAGTCCAAAGCCAGCGAAATGAACGCTGATGTCTATCAATTCTACAAACACTGTTGTTCTTGTTTTATTCAAATTCATTAAAAGAAATAAATGAACAATGATTTCACTTCATAGATGGTGGTAACACTTCATTGTCTCACTTTCCCACAACAAAGACAATCTAAATTTTCTGCTCATTTCGATGCTCAATTCCAATTAAGGTTCATCCACTTACAGACACACAACACGCAATTACAAGCAACTTTACCAAGAGGAGAGGAAATAATTTCACAGATAACTACAAGTTGAAATGTACGCGACACCAATGTACAACATCAGAAGGCGAAAATGGAATCAAAGTAAGAGGAAACAACCCTTAGTCGGTCGAGAGGTTGTGGTTGAAAAGCATGAAGACGGTGGATCCTTGACATACTTACGTGGCTTCACTCAGTTGTTTACAGCAGGCAGCAATATAAAATACACGAAATGATATGGGTTTTATCACTTGAAAACACCAAATATCAGATAATCCCCATGTCACTCTCAGGAATGCGGTGACTCAGTATGCTTGACATAAATCAAGAAGAGGGTCAAATGCGACATACTGTCAAGGGAAGCGGAGTATTTTGCAGGGAGGAAACCTCAGAATACTACATCTGTTTAACACGTCGGTAGTCTAGATGAAACCATCAAGGATGAAATCAATGAAGGGACACTGAACAGAAATGAAGAGAAACGAAGTAAATTCTTTAATGGACAATCACACGCAAATCATCCATTAAAACCATTAACGGCAGGCACAGTACTCGATGTGAATACCGATCCTCCAACAAAAGCAAACATTTAGAAGTTAGTGGTGGTCGGGAAAGCGACAGAAACAGATGGTATTACTTCGAAAGCACCTAAGTGGATATAATCACGCCACTGATGCAAAAGCTTTTTGATGGAGGATTGTGATATGGCGGTCAAAAGGATAGGAAATCTTGTCGAACTGGAAAAAAGGGGTGACTTAAGCACATGAGAGAACTAGGTGAGAATCCGACTTCGCCAAATCAAACTAAAATATCAGCTCGTGTCATCCCGGAGAGACTGAATGATGCTTTGAATAAAAAACTATTCCAGTTACAAGCTGTATACAAGAAAACCGATTTATGTACGGATGGAAACGCAAAGCCACGCTTTAGCACCGAAAAGAGCACATGAGTAAAATTACATATTCTCATCAGCTTCATTGACCTTGAGAAGACCTTCGACAGCAATGGAAACTACGGAGTGCATTGCCGCAAACAGCTACATGAATATGGCGAATGTCAGGTGATCCACAACGGAAGGCTCAATAAGGCTGATCGCTGGTGGTACTCCTAGTTATGGTCAACTGGAGCGTGAACAGACAGTCAACAGTGAGAGGATTATCATACGTTGGTGCCACAAGCAGACTAAAGAAGGTTTGAACTTCGTCGATGGTTTATGCATTATTTCACACAAACTCGAAGATCGGCAGAAAAAGGCGAATATGTTGGCTGAAATAGCAGCCAGAGAAGAATTGTCTTCATGTGAGCGTAGAGAAAATGGAGGCGATGAGCACAACTAATCACCCACCAACCAACCAACAGCCATCGCGAAAATGTGAAGGAAGTCATTTCGCTTACTCATCTAGGCAGCTTAGCTTACACAACACGTGGCATCAAGCGTGAGGATTTTGAAGTCAGCTAGGGTCAAACAAAGTGAAATAGAATATTACCACTTTCTAATCAGTAGGCGAGTTTATTCCACCCAGTATAAGGAACATATTCTGGGTATTCAACACTGACGTCGAAACAATGCTTCCACATGAATCAGAAGCTTATGGCATTGACAGAAACATTTACAACAGTCAGACGAAAACGTTTGTCAACACTTCACTTAAATGAACTAGTACTGAGGGATAGTAGGCCGGAAAACAATAACAGCGAGGAATTCTGATGACAAATCAATCATGAACCCACCGCTTCACATTTATGGAAATCAAAATGAAGGTAATAGCACATGCGTTGAGGAGACCGTTGACTGAAATCACACGCAGGCCTGTTTAATGGTATGTGAATACGACATGCGAAAGCGAGCGGTGGTTCAACGATGACATGATGAGGATTATGTGGGCTGAAAGTGGAGGTTAATTGAGCAGTGTTGGAGTCAGCCACAAAGGGCTGCAGAGAGGAGGATAGTAAAGAGATATGCAGGTGTGGTCCTGTTTTCCACTTGGAACTCAGGAGAATAACAATAATAATAATAATCTGAAAAGGAAGCTCAGAGTGGCTAAGACAGCAGTGGACAAAACTAACCTCTGGACCTCTTTTCCAGCCACAGTTGTTCCTACCAGAATTCAATTCACACAGACAATCTCCCACTACACCCCTAAGTGAGTTAGTGAGTTTCAGTAATTTGCTTCAAATCACCAGACAACGATGACAGTTCGCACAGAAGTTAAGGAATGAAGGTGGGTCGGTCCTCGATTTCGTGTTACACCCTAGACAAGCGTTATTTCAACCGTTGGAATCAGTCACCTTCCTTCCGGTACCATAGATTTCATCATGCATCGACCAGGATGCAACTTCCATCTTCGTCTCATGATGACAAACTAATGTGATGCTTGGTCTTCCTCAAAGGGATCACTAGTGTGCATCTGTGATTCATTAGCATTCATGAAATATAACATAACCTACTGATGGAAAAATGACCTGACCATATGTTTGTGGCTCATATTTACTAGCAGCCATGTAGATATCTCAATAGAATTACTTACCCAGTTTAGTTGTTTCTTCCGCATTCTGGGGATTCACGTACGTTTCAAGTTCAATCATAAGAACTGAAAGAAACAAATGGGTGGAAATAAGTGTGAAGTATGTGGATTAATAAATGATTGACTAAAAGTTCTGATAGACTAAATGTTGACTTCTAGGCAACGTGAAATTGGGCTTTCTGTGTTTGTGTAACTAATTATTAACGAAGTAGTGCTGACCTCGATGCGTTATCGATACACCTACAGATAAATGTATATATTTTTGCACAATCTGCTGGTAACCAGTGCTAAGTGACTAGGCCTATCAGTCTCATCTCAGTCTGTAATATACACATACATACAAAATAATCCCCCGAGAGATTATCAGGTTTATTGAAATAGATGGGGCACAATCACTCACGTTGAAGCACCAATTTCCTGCTCTACTTAATAATAATAATTTGCAAGTTACTACCGCAACTAGGTGATGTAACATACATCTGCTGACTTCAAAAATATATATCTCCGAACTTCGATGGAGACGTGCATTTGCAGAAGAGAAGTTTAAAAATGTACTCAGTGTTGCCAGTGACTGAAGTTGTTGATTAGCCGTCTACAAATCAAAGCAACCGATATGAGTAGCAGGAGGAAGTGAATACCATTCGTTACAGAACAGTATAAAGTCAAGATACAACCGTGAAATTATTTTCGGTGAAATAAGCACATACATTTGGAATTCACAACTTGACAGTATGAATCTGCGTATGCGTCTAGTATTGAATTCGTATCATCTAAAATAGAGAAAAATATTTCCATCGAGTTATTTAATTAACTATTCATAATTAACCAAGTAAAACATATACATAAATGGAAACTTCTCCCATATGATGAACGCGAAATAATTGCTCCCTGCTGAAGATGTGAGAAGTGGCGGATTTTACCATTTCTGAAATCCACAAAATAACAAGGAAAATCTCTCTAATCAAAAGTTACACTCATCACACAATGCCTTCAAACGCTCAGAAGTAAAAGTGTCCTTCATTTCTCACTTTTGTCAGAAGGTCCCTGCACCTTCTCAAATCATCATACAAATATTAAGTACACAATTTTCAGCGAAGAGACTCTTTTCAACGAATTTATTATCAAGCTGTACAATCGTATATATATGGTTTTATAAAGAAATTATATCCGGTGAGGGAATTGGGTCAAAGGTGTAAATACATGAAATAATAATAGTATGAAACTAATTTAAAATATTTGTGATTAGGTTCATAGTTTAAGTCAAGTGGAACAATAATTAATGTCATATATAAGATAATACATCAGGTGTATAAATTTTGGGGAGAGGCATATAAATGTAAGATTAATAGACGAATGTAAAATGTTACGTAACATTGTGTGAAATTTGTGTATGGACTACCAAAATCACATAAGACAGGATTACCCCTCCGTCCAATCCTCGATATGGCGGGCTCTCCTTATCACGGAATCGCTCAATGGCTAGCCGAAATATTGGAACCAGTCAGAAGGCAAGTATCTAAGTTTTCCATTGATGATACGTTTAAATTTATTGATAGTATTAAAGATTTTAATGTCTCAGAAAAAGTCCTGTTCTCATTAGATGTCACGTCGCTATTTACCAATGTTCCTCTCATGGAAACTGTTAGCTATTTATGTGAGTATATTGATACACATGGTTTGGAAATAGGTTTACCGACAATCCACCTCAAAGAAATTTTATTGAGATGCACGTTGAATGTTCAGTTCACCTTCAACAATGAGATCTATAGACAGAGAGATGGCATTGCCATGGGATCACCACTGGGTCCTTTGTTAGCTGATTGTTTTATGGCAAAGCTGGAAAATTCTCAACTTAGTCAAACCATCGGGCATTTTGACATTTATAAAAGATACGTAGACGACACTTTCGTCATCTGCGATAAGAACGTAGTTCTTGATGATGTCTTGTTCGCCTTCAACAACTGCCATCCTTCTTTACAATTCACCATTGAAAAGGAATCGGAACTAAGTATTCCGTTTCTTGATGTGTGCCTTAGCAGACGGAATGACGGATCTCTCAAGAGATCGATCCACCGGAAACGTACATGGAACGGACAACTAACTAATTTTTACAGTTGGGTGCCTATTTCCAGGAAAAGGAATTTAATCCATTCACTCTGCTTTAGGATAAGGAAAATTTGTAGTTCTGATTGCGTCGACTCAGAACTGGACTTCCTGAAAGCCACACTCGCAGAAAACGGTTACCCTAACCGATTTATTGACAGCAACATGAAAGATAAGCAGTCTAAACTGGTCACTGACTCAGTTCCAAAGAAAACCCTATTCGTGAACTTGGAATTCAAAGGAGATCAAGCTTCTGATATGCTCAAAAATCGTCTTTCTAAATCAGTTAGTAAAACGTTCCCTGCAGCTAGATTACATATGACGTTCACGAGCCGCAAACTGTTCTCTACCTCTGTAAAAGATAAGCTCCCCCGTCTGACCGCCTCCATGTGCATCTACCAGTTCACCTGCTCTTGTGGAGCAAGGTACATTGGCCGTAGTCAGAGAATGCTCTCCACACGGATACGAGAACATATTCCAGCTTGGTTTTACAAGGGAGAAAGGAAATGTGTGCGAAGCTCTATCTTAGAACACCTCATCGACTCCTGTCACGCGGTCAACCCTGACCATGATTTCAAGGTCTTATATAGAATTCATGCCAACTTCCCGCGTTTTCTTCGTTACAGACTTCTAAAGACAGCTGAGGCCTTGGCAATTCATGACTTTAAGCCAGACCTTTGTGTACAAAAGAAGTATGTACAATCCCTACTGCTGCCTTGGCCGTAGAGGGATAGACATTTATTTATTTTATTATTCTATGTACTTTTCCCTTATTACTTCGATTATTATTATTATTATCATTATTATTATGACTCATTCTGAATCTTTTCCACTTGATCTACTTGACATTTTAAACCAAAAATTATTCATGTGTATACTTTTTATCTTTATTTTTACAATATTAAATTCTATGTTATCAAATTTCACACCATGTTACGTAACATTTTACATTCGTCTATTAATCTTACAATTATATGCCTCTCCCCAAAATCTATACACCTGATGTATTATCTTATATATGACATTAATTATTGTTCCACTTGACTTAAACTATGAACCTAATCACAAATATTTTAAATTTATTTCATACTATTATTATTTCATGTATTTACACCTTTGACCTAATTCCCTCACCGGATATAATTTCTTTATAAAACCATATATATACGATTGTACAGCTTGATAATAAATTCGTTGAAAAGAGTCTCTTCGCTGAAATTTGTGTTCTTAATGCTACAAAGGGAATTATTAAATACAAATATTAACTCAAATATGCAATGATGCTGACTTGAGTTTTAATGAGATTGGCTCAATGACTGAATCACTCACTCCCTGTTGGCGGTAATTGTGGGAATGCATGCTAAATTTCGATGGAGGTCAAAGCTTCATATTTACAATGCACAATCAATTCAGTGCAAAGATATCTCTTACTGTCTGTCTAGTGGCACGCATATATCACTGTATGTAGGATATTCAGTTGAGGAGGAGTTCTACGAAAATTTGATGGATGCACTGAATCCTGCTTTATTACTACTAGTTGCTTGTTATGAGATATCGCGCCATGAACGTTTCCAGAAAATTACAGTTGAAATGAATGGTAAATCTAGTAATCGAGTAACACACTACACGTACTATAGTGGAGACTGTAGGCAACACAGAGAGCTTTTATTCGGGTTATATCTTTGTCAAATCTTTTATGAACTATGAAGTCTTTCTTTCACCTGTCGAGAATTAAAAAGGTAACCTAACTCATACTTCGGAGTTCAACTTGATACTTATGAAATTATTAAATTACGGGAAATCCCGTAGATATTCAGACGTCTAAAAACTGTGTGTTAATTCATTCAAGATTGGTACTGTGTCATACTTGAGTGATGGTTCGATATTGACACTTGTTTTTGTAAATGAAGATGATTTCGGAAGTTCTATTGAACATGGCTCGCTTATCTACGTATTTATTTAAGCAGATCTGATTGACTTTACTTCACTGAGGAAGTTGAACTCACCAGCATACAAGTTTCAGGAAATCCAAGAAATTTGTTTTCATTATATAAAATAATTCTTAGCTAAACTAAAATACTCAGATTTCAGGTCTAATACCAGTGACTTTTGATTAATCTGAGTGCAGAACTAACATCAGTTTAGAGCATCTATTTCTCTTAAGTATAGGACTCTTCAACGGTATTCACCAATTACTATACTAGACAACTAACCTTTCACTTTTATCGGGCTGGAACGCAGATCTTGCAATCAATCACTTGGAATCTCCCGTCCCAGGCATTCCTACTTCACTCTATCTGCTACCATAGTCCTACTATCAACCACTGCCTTCACTGACATTTGCACCAGAACGAAACACCCGTTCAGATGATAAATAATTCTCTATCTTATTGCCGTTAATAACTAAATCTACACTGAAATTCCCGTTTAAGCATTTGTAGAGATGGGTAATTGCCTATTTCAAATAAAGGTTAGAAAAACTTTGTCCAAAAAATGACACTACAAAAGTGAAAGGTGAATATTTTGATGTCTTAAAAAAGGATTAATTACCAACTTACATTCATGACTAGCATAGGTTTTAGATAAAAGGAGTAGGAGGAAACATAATCCCTGTAGTAATAAATTTCGCATGATTTCAGATCTATCAACAATGTATGTTGTCAGTGTTATCTCCTGCAAAATAATTTTATACCTGAGTGTCTCACATATTGATTTTTTTATAGTTAAACATGAACACACTAGCTGTCTGTGTATATGGTGTTCATATGTTTATTTCATTCTTTCTGAGGTCACACATCTAAAGATGCAGCTACAATTGGCAAGTAACACAGCATACTACGCAGCATAGAAAATCAGTCAGTAGTACATTGGTTACAGAAAACAGCAACAGTATACTGATTTGCTGTGACTGCTGCTATTTATGGCAACCATCAATGTGAAGGTGAATCAACCAATCCTTTCTAACAAAATGGATTGAAACCCACTTAAAATTGAGTAGGGTATCCAAGAGTTAATTCGTAGCTAGTAATTTGATTTGGTTCGAGTTTCACCATAGACAGATAACAGTTGGCGGACTATTCAAAAACAGAAGGAAATAGTGAACATCTGTTTCCTTCGTCTAGTTTGAGACTCATCAGCAGTACTCCTCCACTACAAGTCCGACCCAGCATCTTTCAGTTACATGGAAGCGCGTAGACCTATCAGCCACAAAGACGTCCTAGATGACAAATACATAAATTCTAACATCTACTAATTCGTGATTTTAGCTGAATCTCGGTGAACACTTACCGCCGATTTTTGTTATCAGAGCTTCTCTGACTGATATCATTCTGTGGTGAAACATGAAACAAATCACATTCTTACAAACTAACTCTCGTAAATCATTCGGATACCTACCAGTGACTACCTGCAGAACTAATTCGCCTGATGTGATAACGCCTGACCAGTTGGGGCCGCCAACCCGGGAGTGAGTATAAATTCTTGCCGCGGACGACACTGGCTGGTGCCAGTCACGTTAAATTAACCAATCCGTAGGGGCTAGAATTCGTGTGCTCTCAGGCTGAGTAAGGTCTCATTAGCGGAATTCTCTACAAGCTTGTACTTCAATCGGAAGGTCCTTAACTCAAACACGATTGCTGACGTACTGCCAATGAGTCTCAAATTCGGCTGACAAAACAGCTGTCTAACACTCCCTGGTGTTCTTCAGCGCTTCTCTAATTGATATCAAACCATCATCAAACTTGGAATTAGTAAACGTTTGTTTTATTTTATATACATAGCAAACATTCCACCACAAATTTGTGATACATTATGGATGAAAGTCAAATCACAGGTCACCTGAAAAATTTCGGTTCAAAAAGGATTTAATTTCATAATTATTTGACTGATTATATATGTTCATTTTACTTTAATATACAGGCTGTTTTTTTCTAAGATAAAACTCCTGTATTCTCCAAGGGCAAATTATGATGATACCTCATACTGTACTTAGTGAATTACCAAGTACGTGTTACACGATCGCAAATGAGGACAAATGATTTTACAGAATAAGCTGGTAACATTATTTATTTCATTGGCTTCTCATCATCTGCTTAAAGCTAAAAGTCATCATTAAGTATATCTACAGAAACATTTTTATTATACTAACAGAGAGTTCATTTTTAAACAAAAATCAATCAATACCGATAATGTTTTTATTTTCAAAAATTAAGTAGTGTTATACTATAATATTTGACGTTTCGACTACAAATTATCACTCCTAATAATATCAATATCATATCGCAATCATGTCGTACATTCATGAAAATATGAATAATAATTTGTTCTCTAAACAGCAAATATGACAGCAGATTAATGTGGGATTTTATCGAAATAAAAATGTATCCATAATGGAGATATACTATACTACAATGTCCAAGTTTTCCATTATATCAAAAATCAATCAATATATGCACACAATCATAAAATATATATATAATAATGAACACTTCGTCCCGAACTATAAGGATCATACACAATGGAAACTTTCGGCACCACGTAATCAGATGGAATCGAGGGTGAAAATATCCAGTTACCAGTGCAAAGAAAGACAGATAACAGACTCTTTCTGAACACAAATCGGGTTTCAGGTGCTTGATGGAGAATGCTTTGGCAGACTTAAGGAGAACTCTTCGAATTCTTTTACCTATTGACAAGTTTGAAGGGTCTCGTGAACCTCACCTCATGACTTGTGTTTTCCTAAACGCATTCCGGGGCGCAAAATGTCAGGCCACACTGTGCAATTTCGGCGTGGGAAAAATTTGCCTGGTGATCTCACACATTTCATTGTTACAGTAATAAATAAAGGTATAGTTCTCAAAATGCCTATCAGTATGGTGATTTTGATGGCTTTAGTTACCCAGTCAATATCTGTGAGGCTTAAAAAATGTACAACTGAATTGCATTATCATTTTGATGAAATACTGCACCCCTTATCGTATTAATGGACTTTGAGAACGGATTATAGCTGAGAGGATGGGGCACAGCATTTGTTCTAGGAGACTTGATGACTTGTGAAGCGTGCAGCAAAGGTGAGCCATATTATGAACCAGAATTGCTATGAAAGAGACGCACGACAAATCACGGATAATAAACTTTTCTCTTTGGCTGCACAAAAATTACTGTCAAGCGTCTATTCCTGCGTTTGCAGTGGAATGAGTTCCATCGGCCACGTTTGCAGCACGACTACCATGGTAGGTGGCCCGCCATCAAAATGCAGTCAGAAATATTTTGTTCAGGTTGTAAGAAGCAATCACCAAGACACTTAAAACCTATTTCTCGTTCCACGAATGCAAATTAGGCTGTACTGAAGAGAAGGACGCTAGCCCTCGTATACTTTACCTAAATAAGCGATAGTAGTAAATCTCTGGCATACACACTGTATTATTAAATAGTATCAGGGAGTAAAGGTTTGAAAAATAACGCGTTTTTAGGCTATTTCAAATGATTCCGTTTCACAACTGCATAGATTTACATCAACTTAAAGTCACACACACACACACACACAACCGAATACCACCGAGCATGATAGCACGAAAAAGCATGAGCCCCTAGAGTTAAAGACGGTTAGCTGACTCATTTTTACCACCTTGTAAATTTAGGCTGGGAACACACATGTATCCACACAGTCTAATTCATACACATGCAATCTACCATTATTCCAGCTGAGCCAGAGAATACTAAGCTTGGAACTTGAAGGTATTTCGTGGAGAGAAAAATGCATACTATTGTTCACAGGTATCACAATAAAATGAAGTATCGTTCTACGTATAACTTCATCTGGTCTACAGAATTCCATAAAAGCTATCAGATTTTATTTTCCAGTATTTCTCACGATTTATTAACAGCCTACTACTACTTTTATTTATTTTTCTTCTTTTCTTCGGCTTTCTGTGTTTGACCTATATACTGCGGTATCTTCTATGTTGAATATTATGAAATTATTCTCATCTCATTAACTTTAGCTGAGTGAAGTAAATTTAGTATTAATTGAGTTATGTGTGCAACGTGATACTGATGTGAACCTTTGATGATCTTATCTGGTTAAGTTAACTTTGTTTATTCTTTGCTTGTTATATTGAAATTTTTGCGTTTATATTTCTCTACTAAATCTATTTCATACTCACTTGATTGTGTAGTTTACTCTTTCAGCACTCAGTGCATTGTAGTCAGTCTAATTGGTCTTCCAGTAAGCCAGAATGTAGGAATAATTTCACCAATTCATATAATAACCATATGAAATCTACTTTATGTAAGAAAGAGTGTTGAAAAGTGAGAAGGCATTCTTGGCCGTTATTGTATTCAGCGAATCGACTCTTTCCAACGAATTGATTGATCATCAAGCCGTATAATCGTGTATATATGATTCTCTTTAAGATATTTTATCTGGTGAGAGAGTTGAATAAAAGGTGTGAATACATTCGATAATAATAGTAGTATGAAATGCAAATAAAATATTTGCGATGATAATGATAGTTTAATGTCAGTCGAAAAAAACAATTAATTTCATATGTCAAATAATTGAATTCTAGCCCCTACGGATTGGTTAATTTAACGTGACTGGCACCAGCCAGTGTCGTCCGCGGCAAGAATGTATACTCACTCCCGGGTTGGCGGCCCCAACTGGTCAGGCGTTATCACATCAGGCGAATTAGTTCTGCAGGTAGTCACTGGTAGGTATCCGAATGATTTACGAGAGTTAGTTTGTAAGAATGTGATTTGTTTCATGTTTCACCACAGAATGATATCAGTCAGAGAAGCTCTGATAACAAAAATCGGCGGCAAGTGTTCACCGAGATTCAGCTAAAATCACGAATTAGTAGATGTTAGAATTTATGTATTTGTCATCTAGGACGTCTTTGTGGCTGATAGGTCTACGCGCTTCCATGTAACTGAAAGATGCTGGGTCGGACTTGTAGTGGAGGAGTACTGCTGATGAGTCTCAAACTAGACGAAGGAAACAGATGTTCACTATTTCCTTCTGTTTTTGAATAGTCCGCCAACTGTTATCTGTCTATGGTGAAACTCGAACCAAATCAAATTACTAGCTACGAATTAACTCTTGGATACCCTACTCAATTTTAAGTGGGTTTCAATCCATTTTGTTAGAAAGGATTGGTTGATTCACCTTCACATTGATGGTTGCCATAAATAGCAGCAGTCACAGCAAATCAGTATACTGTTGCTGTTTTCTGTAACCAATGTACTACTGACTGATTTTCTATGCTGCGTAGTATGCTGTGTTACTTGCCAATTGTAGCTGCATCTTTAGATGTGTGACCTCAGAAAGAATGAAATAAACATATGAACACCATATACACAGACAGCTAGTGTGTTCATGTTTAACTATAAAAAAATCAATATGTGAGACACTCAGGTATAAAATTATTTTGCAGGAGATAACACTGACAACATACATTGTTGATAGATCTGAAATCATGCGAAATTTATTACTACAGGGATTATGTTTCCTCCTACTCCTTTTATCTAAAACCAATGCTAGTCATGAATGTAAGTTGGTAATTAATCCTTTTTCAAGACATCAAAATATTCACCTTTCACTTTTGTAGTGTCATTTTTTGTACAAAGTTTTTCTAACCTTTATTTGAAATAGGAAATTACCCATCTCTACAAATGCTTAAACGGGAATTTCAGTGTAGATTTAGTTATTAACGGCAATAAGATAGAGAATTATTTATCATCTGAACGGGTGTTTCGTTCTGGTGCAAATGTCAGTGAAGGCAGTGGTTGATAGTAGGACTATGGTAGCAGATAGAGTGAAGTAGGAATGCCTGGGACGGGAGATTCCAAGTGATTGATTGCAAGATCTGCGTTCCAGCCCGATAAAAGTGAAAGGTTAGTTGTCTAGTATAGTAATTGGTGAATACCGTTGAAGAGTCCTATACTTAAGAGAAATAGATGCTCTAAACTGATGTTAGTTCTGCACTCAGATTAATCAAAAGTCACTGGTATTAGACCTGAAATCTGAGTATTTTAGTTTAGCTAAGAATTATTTTATATAATGAAAACAAATTTCTTGGATTTCCTGAAACTTGTATGCTGGTGAGTTCAACTTCCTCAGTGAAGTAATGTCAATCAGATCTGCTTAAATAAATACGTAGATAAGCGAGCCATGTTCAATAGAACTTCCGAAATCATCTTCATTTACAAAAACAAGTGTCAATATCGAACCATCACTCAAGTATGACACAGTACCAATCTTGAATGAATTAACACACAGTTTTTAGACGTCTGAATATCAACGGGATTTCCTGTAATTCAATAATTTCATAAGTATCAAGTTGAACTCCGAAGTATGAGTTAGGTTACCTTTTTAATTCTCGACAGGTGAAAGAAAGACTTCTTAGTTCATAAAAGATTTGACAAAGATATAACCAGAATAAAAGCTCTCTGTGTTGCCTACAGTCTCCACTATAGTACGTGTAGTGTGTTACTCGATTACTAGATTTACCATTCATTTCAACTGTAATTTTCTGGAAACGTTCATGGCGCGATATCTCATAACAAGCAACTAGTAGTAATAAAGCAGGATTCAGTGCATCCATCAAATTTTCGTAGAACTCCTCCTCAACTGAATATCCTACATACAGTGATATATGCGTGCCACTAGACAGACAGTAAGAGATATCTTTGCACTGAATTGATTGTGCATTGTAAATATGAAGCTTTGACCTCCATCGAAATTTAGCATGCATTCCCACAATTACCGCCAACAGGGAGTGAGTGATTCAGTCATTGAGCCAATCTCATTAAAACTCAAGTCAGCATCATTGCATATTTGAGTTAATATTTGTATTTAATAATTCCCTTTGTAGCATTAAGAACACAAATTTCAGCGAAGAGACTCTTTTCAACGAATTTATTATCAAGCTGTACAATCGTATATATATGGTTTTATAAAGAAATTATATCCGGTGAGGGAATTAGGTCAAAGGTGTAAATACATGAAATAATAATAGTATGAAATAAATTTAAAATATTTGTGATTAGGTTCATAGTTTAAGTCAAGTGGAACAATAATTAATGTCATATATAAGATAATACATCAGGTGTATAGATTTTGGGGAGAGGCATATAATTGTAAGATTAATAGACGAATGTAAAATGTTACGTTACATGGTGTGAAATTTGATAACATAGAATTTAATATTGTAAAAATAAAGATAAAAAGTATACACATGAATAATTTTTGGTTTAAAATGTCAAGTAGATCAAGTGGAAAAGATTCAGAATTTGAGTCATAATAATAATGATAATAATAATAATAATCGAAGTAATAAGGGAAAAGTACATAGAATAATAAAATAAATAAATGTCTATCCCTCTACGGCCAAGGCAGCAGTAGGGATTGTACATACTTCTTTTGTACACAAAGGTCTGGCTTAAAGTCATGAATTGCCAAGGCCTCAGCTGTCTTTAGAAGTCTGTAACGAAGAAAACGCGGGAAGTTGGCATGAATTCTATATAAGACCTTGAAATCATGGTCAGGGTTGACCGCGTGACAGGAGTCGATGAGGTGTTCTAAGATAGAGCTTCGCACACATTTCCTTTCTCCCTTGTAAAACCAAGCTGGAATATGTTCTCGTATCCGTGTGGAGAGCATTCTCTGACTACGGCCAATGTACCTTGCTCCACAAGAGCAGGTGAACTGGTAGATGCACATGGAGGCGGTCAGACGGGGGAGCTTATCTTTTACAGAGGTAGAGAACAGTTTGCGGCTCGTGAACGTCATATGTAATCTAGCTGCAGGGAACGTTTTACTAACTGATTTAGAAAGACGATTTTTGAGCATATCAGAAGCTTGATCTCCTTTGAATTCCAAGTTCACGAATAGGGTTTTCTTTGGAACTGAGTCAGTGACCAGTTTAGACTGCTTATCTTTCATGTTGCTGTCAATAAATCGGTTAGGGTAACCGTTTTCTGCGAGTGTGGCTTTCAGGAAGTCCAGTTCTGAGTCGACGCAATCAGAACTACAAATTTTCCTTATCCTAAAGCAGAGTGAATGGATTAAATTCCTTTTCCTGGAAATAGGCACCCAACTGTAAAAATTAGTTAGTTGTCCGTTCCATGTACGTTTCCGGTGGATCGATCTCTTGAGAGATCCGTCATTCCGTCTGCTAAGGCACACATCAAGAAACGGAATACTTAGTTCCGATTCCTTTTCAATGGTGAATTGTAAAGAAGGATGGCAGTTGTTGAAGGCGAACAAGACATCATCAAGAACTACGTTCTTATCGCAGATGACGAAAGTGTCGTCTACGTATCTTTTATAAATGTCAAAATGCCCGATGGTTTGACTAAGTTGAGAATTTTCCAGCTTTGCCATAAAACAATCAGCTAACAAAGGACCCAGTGGTGATCCCATGGCAATGCCATCTCTCTGTCTATAGATCTCATTGTTGAAGGTGAACTGAACATTCAACGTGCATCTCAATAAAAGTTCTTTGAGGTGGATTGTCGGTAAACCTATTTCCAAACCATGTGTATCAATATACTCACATAAATAGCTAACAGTTTCCATGAGAGGAACATTGGTAAATAGCGACGTGACATCTAATGAGAACAGGACTTTTTCTGAGACATTAAAATCTTTAATACTATCAATAAATTTAAACGTATCATCAATGGAAAACTTAGATACTTGCCTTCTGACTGGTTCCAATATTTCGGCTAGCCATTGAGCGATTCCGTGATAAGGAGAGCCCGCCATATCGAGGATTGGACGGAGGGGTAATCCTGTCTTATGTGATTTTGGTAGTCCATACACAAATTTCACACAATGTTACGTAACATTTTACATTCGTCTATTAATCTTACATTTATATGCCTCTCCCCAAAATCTATACACCTGATGTATTATCTTATATATGACATTAATTATTGTTCCACTTGACTTAAACTATGAACCTAATCACAAATATTTTAAATTAGTTTCATACTATTATTATTTCATGTATTTACACCTTTGACCCAATTCCCTCACCGGATATAATTTCTTTATAAAACCATATATATACGATTGTACAGCTTGATAATAAATTCGTTGAAAAGAGTCTCTTCGCTGAAAATTGTGTTCTTAATATTTGTATGATGATTTGAGAAGGTGCAGGGACCTTCTGACAAAAGTGAGAAATGAAGGACACTTTTACTTCTGAGCATTTGAAGGCATTGTGTGATGAGTGTAACTTTTGATTAGAGAGATTTTCCTTGTTATTTTGTGGACTTCAGAAATGGTAAAATCCGCCACTTCTCACATCTTCAGCAGGAAGCAATTATTTCGCGTTCATCATATGGGAGAAATTTGCATTTATGTATATGTTTTACTTGGTTAATTATGAATAGTTAATTAAACAACTCGATGGAAATATTTTTCTCTATTTTAGATGATACGAATTCAATACTAGACGCATACGCAGATTCATACTGTCAAGTTGTGAATTCCAAATGTATGTGCTTATTTCACCGAAAATAATTTCACGGTTGTATCTTGACTTTATACTGTTCTGTAACGAATGGTATTCACTTCCTCCTGCTACTCATATCGGTTGCTTGATTTGTAGACGGCTAATCAACAAATTCAGTCACTGGCAACACTGAGTACATTTTTAAACTTCTCTTCTGCAAATGCACGTCTCCATCGAAGTTCGGAGATATATATTTTTGAAGTCAGCAGATGTATGTTACATCACCTAGTTGCGGTAGTAACTTGCAAATTATTATTATTAAGTAGAGCAGGAAATTGGTGCTTCAACGTGAGTGATTGTGCCCCATCTATTTCAATAAACCTGATAATCTCTCGGGGGATTATTTTGTATGTATGTGTATATTACAGACTGAGATGAGACTGATAGGCCTAGTCACTTAGCACTGGTTACCAGCAGATTGTGCAAAAATATATACATTTATCTGTAGGTGTATCGATAACGCATCGAGGTCAGCACTACTTCGTTAATAATTAGTTACACAAACACAGAAAGCCCAATTTCACGTTGCCTAGAAGTCAACATTTAGTCTATCAGAACTTTTAGTCAATCATTTATTAATCCACATACTTCACACTTATTTCCACCCATTTGTTTCTTTCAGTTCTTATGATTGAACTTGAAACGTACGTGAATCCCCAGAATGCGGAAGAAACAACTAAACTGGGTAAGTAATTCTATTGAGATATCTACATGGCTGCTAGTAAATATGAGCCACAAACATATGGTCAGGTCATTTTTCCATCAGTAGGTTATGTTATATTTCATGAATGCTAATGAATCACAGATGCACACTAGTGATCCCTTTGAGGAAGACCAAGCATCACATTAGTTTGTCATCATGAGACGAAGATGGAAGTTGCATCCTGGTCGATGCATGATGAAATCTATGGTACCGGAAGGAAGGTGACTGATTCCAACGGTTGAAATAACGCTTGTCTAGGGTGTAACACGAAATCGAGGACCGACCCACCTTCATTCCTTAACTTCTGTGCGAACTGTCATCGTTGTCTGGTGATTTGAAGCAAATTACTGAAACTCACTAACTCACTTAGGGGTGTAGTGGGAGATTGTCTGTGTGAATTGAATTCTGGTAGGAACAACTGTGGCTGGAAAAGAGGTCCAGAGGTTAGTTTTGTCCACTGCTGTCTTAGCCAATCTGAGCTTCCTTTTCAGATTATTATTATTATTGTTATTCTCCTGAGTTCCAAGTGGAAAACAGGACCACACCTGCATATCTCTTTACTATCCTCCTCTCTGCAGCCCTTTGTGGCTGACTCCAACACTGCTCAATTAACCTCCACTTTCAGCCCACATAATCCTCATCATGTCATCGTTGAACCACCGCTCTCTTTCGCATGTCGTATTCACATACCATCAAACAGGCTTGCGTGTGATATCAGTCAACGGTCTCCTCAACGCATGTGCTATTTACCTTCATTTTGATTTCCATAAATGTGAAGCGGTGGGTTCATGATTGATTTGTCATCAGAATTCCTCGCTGTTATTGTTTTCCGGCCTACTATCCCTCAGTACTAGTTCATTTAAGTGAAGTGTTGACAAACGTTTTCGTCTGACTGTTGTAAATGTTTCTGTCAATGCCATAAGCTTCTGATTCATGTGGAAGCATTGTTTCGACGTCAGTGTTGAATACCCAGAATATGTTCCTTATACTGGGTGGAATAAACTCGCCTACTGATTAGAAAGTGGTAATATTCTATTTCACTTTGTCTGACCGTAGCTGACTTCAAAATCCTCACGCTTGATGCCACGTGTTGTGTAAGCTAAGCTGCCTAGATGAGTAAGCGAAATGACTTCCTTCACATTTTCGCGATGGCTGTTGGTTGGTTGGTGGGTTGATTAGTTGTGCTCATCGCCTCCATTTTCTCTACGCTCACATGAAGACAATTCTTCTCTGGCTGCTATTTCAGCCAACATATTCGCCTTTTTCTGCCGATCTTCGAGTTTGTGTGAAATAATGCATGGTTTATGCATCTGTGAAATTATTTCCTCTCCTCTTGGTAAAGTTGCTTGTAATTGCGTGTTGTGTGTCTGTAAGTGGATGAACCTTAATTGGAATTGAGCATCGAAATGAGCAGAAAATTTAGATTGTCTTTGTTGTGGGAAAGTGAGACAATGAAGTGTTACCACCATCTATGAAGTGAAATCATTGTTCATTTATTTCTTTTAATGAATTTGAATAAAACAAGAACAACAGTGTTTTAGAATTGATAGACATCAGCGTTCATTTCGCTGGCTTTGGACTTTGAGAAGCTGAGGAGGAGCAAAATAAATAAATGATGGCCACAATTGAATCTGGGAAAGCTGCTGTTTTTTCTTTACTCGGAGTAACTGTACTCATACATTATTCAGAGGCGATGCATAATGGAGCACGATTACGAAAATGCAGTCGAAATTAAGTTACAAGTTAAAATAAACACGGTTCCATGATTCATGATGAACACAAAAGTTGAAATAAATCACTGGGTAGTGGGTAAACAAAGTATTCGATGCATCAATAGGACGATATATGAGTTTATTTTTGGTAAGATGGACATGAGTTGGTTTACTTGAATTCTGGTTCATTCCACTCAGCCTCATATATTCCAGGGCCTCCTTCTTCAGTAACGTAAACAGTATAGAGTCATTCCGCAGACGCCATATTCTTGAGAATTACACTGATATGACAGGTAATTATTCATCGATTAGCCGACACCTGAACACGCATGACTGTCGTCATCTAGAGGTTTTAAAGGACAGGTCATAGGCACGAAATTTCATCTACTTGTTATCTGAACCAGTAATAAACTGGAAAGACATAAGTGTGCCGCTGACTATTCATGGTTACTCACAGTGCACAACACACAAATTGTCAATCCTTTCACAAAATATGTTGTTCTCAAAAAGGTCTTCAACATGCAAGACCAGCGAACATCCAGTAAGCTTTTTGTTAACTTGAGCAGGAGAGGATGAGGAGTGAAAAAGGTGAAAGACAAATGGAGGATAAAATATATATACACAGCGTCATGTCGCTAGTCGAAATTCCCTCACAGATACCCTGTTTTGGCCGACATAATAGCATACACGAATTTTGTGTTTTTCGTCACTTTAAACAGAAATCCTGAGACTCGAACACTTATATCAAAGTAAATGGGCGAAGGAATTTCTCGAATGTAAGTCCTCTCATGCATGTTAATCGAACTGTTTTTTGAATAAAGGCGTGGATTTTCACGGAAGTCAAACATAATGGATTATGAATTGAGATGAATTCCAGTGTCGTTGGAAATGCCCAACGAATACAATTAGCGGACAAATAAATCACCGCAACTAGTACTTCAGAGAGTGATCTTTACAGTCGCCATTATCCCATAAAATGCCCTTAACAAACAGTGTGAAACATGTTAGGGAGAAACATCGAGTTGAGGAATGCACATTTTTCAATGTACTTCAGTACACATCCTTTGAATTCTCATATCATCAAATATTCAATTCCAACATAAAATGTGACTACACTTGGCCATCTGTTGAATAAAAGCTGTTGATTCACCTTCCCATATTCTTCTCAGTGCAGAAAAAATATGGTCAGACGGATAAGTTATATAACGCCTCAAACAAGTTGCTTTGATACAATGTCTACATCTCACAAACCCTAATTCTGCATTTCACGTTTCCTTTCTGTCCCTTTCTTATCATGCTTCTGAGTACCGGTAAATAGTTTACCCACATTATCTACACTTTTACAGCAATAGGTGCCAAAGATAAGAAGCTCATGAATCTTTATAACGGTAGGTTATATCATCATAAAATAAGAGACGAGGTGCATGAGACAAATCATTTGGTATGTGAAGACAAAATCATCTTGTTACTGTTTGTTGAATGAATGTCAGCCTGAAATCTCTTTGTGCAGCAGATGTCACCGGAGATGTTTATCTTGATAATGGTAACAAGTGAAAGCGTTATCGCTAGTCTATGGGAATGTAATCTAATCCATATAATGAAGCATCTTAAATATGTCACCAATTCAATCAGGAGTGACGTGGTATTCAGAAGCGAAACAATTTCCTCCACCATCCACTTTCTCGACAATGTCCTCTTCAATATTAGCTTGTTCAATACATGCATGATATAGTGAAACAGTATGCATCACTGATAACATTCCAAATACAATTTAAGGCCATATATTTCTCAAGTTCATTTGAATCACTTGGAAACATAGATTACCTTGATTATTTCTAATTTTCCAATTTTCATCAAATGTCGAGTTGTTGAACAAATCCACAGTTAATCTGTTAGATTACAAAATTACTACTGCTATTCGTTCTCTGATTTCCAGGGTGAAACATCGAGATGCGTACTCTCAATGATGTTTTGAATGGCTGAGTCCAGAACATTAGTACAGTAATAATGTAGGTGCTAGTAGATGTCCTCGTCTTAACCTGTAGGGATCCAGTAAACACTGCATTGTGAAGTACTTCGTATTTGGTATAATCATATGCCTGTTGGATGAGAAGCATCAGAGTATGCAGCACTCAGATGTGTTGGTAGAGCAAACAAGGTACTTCAGCGTCGAATCTGTCGAAAGTCTTCGCAGATTTGATAAGGATGGGGTAAACAGTTGACTTCCATTCTAGACTAATTTATATGATGATTTGCAGTTGTACAGTGAGATTCGCTCACGATTTGTCTCCCTTCAAACCAAATCAACCATACTGGCAACATTCATTCATGGTTTCTGCTGAGAGAGGTGTGCCTAGCTATTCTATTTAAAAATGACTGTTCGATTGTAATGAAACTTTTTTAATGTACGAAATGTTATCTGTTTATAGGTGAACTTAATTCACACCTTCCTACTATCAAAGTGTATTAATGCATGCTGTAGATTTTTGGCGATTCGAGTAATGAAATATTTACCAAACATTGCTTCATTTTCTCATAGATGAATACAGGAAGGCATTGGAAGACGATACTGCTTTCCAGCACAACATTTTTGGTATGATTGAGTTTCCTAACTAAAATTCGTATTACTTCTTAATCTGACATTTATCGGTGCATTGAAATAAGGTGACAGGTTCTATGGATAATGTACACAATATTTTAACCTGGTGTTTTGTGTCTAGTCATAGTTTTAATCTACAATCATACTTGCTTTTCAACCAGACCAGCCACACTCCTCTAACAAAATATTCATCAGAGGAATCCCGTGAGGACTAATCTGATTACCCTTAATATATTGCTTATCGAGGTGAACGTCTTCTTTATTTGTTCCTTATATCGATTCAATATTATGGTCCACTGTTACGACTGATCACATTTCAATGATATTCATAAGATCTCCAGGTCATTTGTCTACTGATTGATGACATTATCATTTCAACTGATGATAATTTTCATAGATTGTATATATGTAGTCAACTCGCTTCTTAATCTTCAACAAAAATATTACCACATTCACAAGACGTTATGCATGGCTTAGGTGAATTCGATGGGTGATGCTTGATATTACGATGAAATCTGTTAGGTCATATAAACTGAGTCACGCTTAGACTACTGTTCAAACAATCATGAGGTCCCAATTTTACAAACCTCATGAGTAATCATTATAACTACTGAATTTACTTTTATTCTTTCAGCTCATAGATCGTTATACAATCGTATGAAAAGGTATATTTCGAATAAATGGGAAAATCGAAAAAAGCTCGATATCGCAGAAGGTAATATTTTTATGATTCCACTATTTAGAAAGGCAGTAAGTTATTCGATATATTGTAAGAAAGTAAATACTCTTCTTCTGTAATTTGGCGAAGTGCGTAAAGTCGCAGTGAACGTCTCTTGCTTATGCACATTGGAACGGTGATATTTCGGCATAAGCGCCACGTTCACGAGTATGAATTCTGAATGGGCGAGAGGGAAAACACGATACTTCATTTACTGACAGTCTTAAATCAAATCCAGAATGAATGAGTGGCGATGAAGGAAAAAAGGACTTATTGTTGGATTGTTCTGCGCAATTCACTGGTTTACCTCATTGAATTATTGGCATGATAGTGTGTATTTTGAAAATGCTTGGATTCTGCGATTTTCTCACCAGCACTAATATTCACACTTGATAGAGAATGATGATCGTATCTCAGCACTAAAGCGTTTTCAAAATAACAGAGAGTAGTTAAGGGAGTCAGTGATAGTAGGGAATCACCACTCATAAATTCATTTCTGCATATTTTGTCATTCGAATAAGTCGAAAATCGACTACTTGCCATCCATATGTGGTTGAGAGTACACTTACGCGATGGTTCAATACCATTTCCTAACGAAGTTTTATACTCAGCAAGCGAGTAAATTATTATGGTGTCATTTGAATTGACGTCAGCTGAATCCATTCTTTGAATAAATCGACTATGATTATTTTGGATTCATGTGACAACTCGAAGTTAAATGACAGTGTGATGTATCATTTGCAGGAAAATTTTTCACGGAGACGTCAGACAATTTGAGAAAATACAGAGGTTGGTTTTCTTTCACTTAGAAGTTAATTTTTCCTAATTTATTAACTCTGCTGAAATATCTCGCTTGATTTCGTGAATATTAGTTCATCTGATCTAATTAACATACATATTTACAATTCCATTGAAATGTGGTGATACTTATTCGTAATAAACCATATCTGAATATCTTTGGTGACATTCACATACAGCACCTAGTTGATTGTTCAACTGAATTCTTGATTTGTTTGAATATGTGGAAAAGCTGTCTCGATGCATTCGAAAACTATGTCTGCCGAATTCATTGGCATCAGGATATTCAGTTCTGATATACGAAACACCGGCGTTACAGTATCGGACTATAGACAGGTGGATTTTCATCGGAACTGTGTTAACTGAAATATCATCTTTTCGGGCAGTAAGAAGTTGTATCTGTGAAAATGAACACTGTTGTTCACATTTTCTCACTAACAAGTACAAAATTGTTTTAGTATTGTTTGTTGCGAAATGTGTGTGTGTGTGTTGAACATCCATGCCTTAAATAATATGTTTTACCCATAAATATTGGACACAGATATATTGACGCAGTGAAGTATCAGTTTGACAGTAGGAGAATGAAGGTTTGGTTTGATGTGGTTGTGTTCTCTGAACTAGATAGTTATTCTGCGAAGCTTCCATCGTCATATTGGGTGACATCTTCAGCTTATACTTCAACTTGAAGTGAGCTTTTAGATCTCTTCAGGAGTTTATTCATCATCTCTCCTGATGATCTTGGACGTAATTGGTTGTTTTCGTGTGTTTTCACACCTTCTAGGTGACTCGTATTGGAACTGATTGTTTCTTTGACTTGAACTTTGACCCATTGTGTGTGAAGTTTCTTTCTTATCGGTTGATAAACTTTGTCTATATCTCTGTGTCTACTGATTGATGGTTCACTGGAATGCCAAGCTTCTAAAAGCTCTCTAGCATTCTTGTTGTTTCCTCTGTCTAATATTTGAACGTTGGTTATCCCAGTCGAGTTGATGACCTTGGTTGTCTGTATGTAGTGAGGCGATATGAGTGATAGAGTGGATGTCATGTCTTTTGACGACTAGATTATGTTCGACGATACAAAGATGAAGAGGATGTCCACTTTTACTAATGTAGTGCTTTCCACAGTTGTCGCAATTTATTTTGTAGATGATGTTGGTTTTATCTTCTATCGCCGTTGAGTCTTTTGGTTGGCATAGACCTGAGTGAAGTGACTTTTTTGGTGTGTTTACGATGTCAATTCCTAAAGAATTGAAGGGTCTTGTAGTGATTTCTGAGATATCCTTTATATATGGTAAGGCGATTTTCTTTGTGCTTTCCTTGATGGCTTTTGGTTTGATAGGTTGGCTTGGTGGTGTATGCCTTTTGATGAAATTCCGTGGATATCCATTCTTTTGGAAGACGTCCATGAGATGTGTTTTTTCAATTTTCCATAAGGTGGGAGTGCTGCAATGAGTCCTTACCCTCTTGATTAGTGTTTGTATGCAATTTCTTTTGTGTGTTATTGGATTGTTTCTGTTGTGATTCAGGATTTGTTCCTTTCGGGTTTCTCATGTTTCATCGTACCGCTGAATCATTTGCTCTCTATGAATTAAAATCCACCTCCTTGCAATTTGATGCTTTTAATCTGATGATGCTACCTTCATATTCTACTTATAACTCTTACCAGTAGCACACATCAAATCAGCCCTCATCATGCAGACAGTGCTGAAAACGTAGCATGTCCTTATAAATACACTTTGTTACATATGAAACCATCGACACATATTTTTATACAATGATTTCACAAATTATTGTGTACAAGTTCAATATTCTACGAAAAAGATTATTGTTCCATATTGACAAAGTCGAGTCAACATTGAAGATGGGCACAGATGCTGTAGAAATACAGTTTACATCTAGTGAAAGTATTTATTTTACTGGTATCAGTAACTATTCAAAATATCATGTGGTAAGTTGAACATTATCAACAGTATAGGCATTTATTGTGACAGTCAGTAGCCATTGCATTATTAGGAATATTTCACGTTGAAGAATACACAATGAAACACTTCATACTTTTGGATACTGTGAAATTAGAGCTGAGATTGGAATAAAAAAGAAGGATTTCAGAGAAGCAAAGAAAGCAGTGAATACATCCAAAGGTAAAATAATTGTGTAAATTGGTATTGCACACTACATTCACGAATAATGAACTGTTAGTATGACAATTCATTCGTCATTGTGTTTATAGTCAGTCGTTAGGCGATCTATTTACTCATGAATAACAGACACATTGCCTAGGTTATATTAGATAGCCTACTCATTATTAATATAATATCATCTTAAAATATTAGGAAGACCAGTTTTATCACCGATGAGTCGCATTCCTTTCATGAGAAGTGAACCGAACCTTTGAAGACTAATGTACTCGCTTTGTTGTCAGGAGGAACCTGTTGAGGAATAATCACATCATTATGAAACGTTTTCGGATGGTCAATAAATTGTATTCAGTATGATGACGAACATGATATCGAAGTTTCTTGACCAACGGTTTAAATATCATTCAACACTTCTTGTTTTCCAAGCTAAACTTAAAGCGCTGGAATCCGCAGCGGTCATCGCATCTAATGCATACCGAAAAACGTCAAGTGAGTGAATGTATATTCATCAGTTTGATTAACGTACTTTATGGTGTAATGAAGCCATGAACAGGAGTAATGTGTAAACCTATTGGATGAACGTGGTGATGATTATATATGAAAAGTCCCGTAATTTAATTGACCATCAACACACAGTAATTTCCACTCAAATGTAAGAATGACGGGAAACCAAGATCGGCTTGCACTTTGCTTTACACTTGGAAGCATACGGAAGAGTAGACCGTGAATCAGGCTCCTCAAAATATTGGTGTGATAATCATAGTGAAGATGACATTGACTGTAGAAGTGAAAAAGTTTACACTGTGGTAGAATTTAATTCGATATTGGATTATTTTAGTGAATATAACACGTATAGTCACAATATTCACAAGTGGATGACGTTTCTAGGAAAATGTATCTCTCATAATCATATGATTGCATTATTATTATTATTACCTAGCTTATTTGCGAGGTGTGGGGATGGGAATATCCACAAATGGTGAGCAATCAGTTTTAACATGACCTAAAATATCATTAAGCAAAAAGGTATTCATCACTTAGTTCCATGCGATTCATCTTTCATTGAAAATAATGAGGCTTCGACAACAAGAAAATTCAGAACTTCATGTTTACCAGAGAATGTGATCATCATAATTGAATGAGAGGGACTAGCTCGTAGTTTCAAATAATGAACCATTTGAGTGTCAACAAGCAAACATCGAATAAGGGATGAAAGCATTTCATCAAAATATCACATGACATTTTAATTTGACAGTAACTCTTTCTGAAGATCTCTTGTTCGAAGATCATGTGAAGGTAAAGAGGACAGAAATACCGAACGACAATTAGAAGTAGGAATTTAATTACTAATTGAAAATTCAATGCTTGAAAATTACTTGCACATATCTCATTCCACACTGAATGTATTTGTATGAAGTATTTCTCTTCATATCCGTCAAGTACGTAGGCGACTATGAGTTTGATAACGAGTTATTATTTCTTTCAGACACATTGAATGAGGCTGAAATCACAGAAGCCTATGAGAAGGCTCGTTCTGAGTTTTCCGACGGCACAGGTAATTTTACATTGTCTTTAAAAGTCGATCACATTTGATGTTATACAGTTCTGATAATGAACTCATTTCTCAGGGAATTTCATTTTCGCAAGAGGCAAAATTAGCCTGTGTGGATAATGACGTTTATATTATCAAGTCGTCGCATTTCCTTATACCAAATTAGGCTATATCATTGATAAAATTAGCAATAGTACTTGTCCTGCTAATACTGGAATCTGCAAATTATTGGAGAGTTGCTGACGATTAGGTCTAAAATATGTATGCACAAAATCGGTAAATTTACTGCTCATTTAGTGCTATTTTCATATTATCAAGATACGCAAAACGATAAATCCTCAGTTACTTCAACAATCCATCATGCAATAAAGTCAAAAACAAAAAGGAATCATACATGTTGCTGAGTTCAGAATAACAGTTACATTGAAAGTACATGACATGATCGAGCATAATGAGATTTCAGCTTTATTTCATATTGTTGCAGGATAACATTAAAAATGCTACTCACATATCACTGACAATCAATTCACTGTTTTAGAGGAACTAGGCGACAAAATAAAACTACTGGAAATGAAGAGGTTTCAATTTTTGAAGTGTAAGTTGAAATATTGAAATGATTTAGAACGGATTAGTTCAAACACGAGAAGATGGAATAAAATGGCTCCTGGCTGAAATGAAGGAGGATGCAAATCAGTAATAGTCAAGTAAGTTCCTACATATATCACCAGGGTATTTTAAATTTCTAACTAACAAGTTACACTGAACTCCTGTTCAATCACATTTCTGCATCCCTTATTAGTGTAGACGAACAGCATGACTGATTTACTGGCTCACTGGTCACACGATCAAAATCGGCGGCTGTACATAATATCCGGGTTGTAACAACTGCTGAGAACATCGTAAATTCAAATGGTGGTTCGCATAGCTGATTTCCTGTGAGAAGTGATTGCAACTTGGAATCAACCAGAAAATGCACGCATCTAATGTGCGCTTCAGTCTTCACTGGAAGTATTCCCTTAAGATTAGTATTACTGCAAGTCAGATTAAAATTGCCAACAATAATTTCTGCTATACAAGACACGTGTCTATTCTCAACCCAACTGTACTTTGATTTCGGTTTCATTTTGTTCCAGTTGCAGGAAAGCGAATTCGATTCCAAGGGAATTCAAGCAATACTGGTGAAGGGAAAACATTGTTTGCTTAACATTTTCATGTTTCACTAAATATAACATTTTCCCTCGTAAGATCTTGTTTCAGTTGGCCTTTTCTGTCTATCTAGTAGAAAGGGATATGTGGGAATGAAGTAGCTAATTAGAACAGAAAGGCTGACCACTTGGGCACAATTTGAGGATTATGTTTTTTGAATGAAGATGAGGAGAAGTGTAATTAATTGACAAATGTTTCCAGTCACGTATACGCACAAAGACATCCAATCACCTCGACATGTTCATGTTATTTGCCACGCACATTTTCAAAGGTGACTTGTAAAGAACCTCCCACGCAGAGGTTGATAATTGGTGTGTTATAATAGTGAATGTAAATTCTTAGTTACACTATTCGTCATTCGAATGCAGCGAATTCGTCATCGATGTAATGAAGAAATATCATGGACTGAGAATGACGGAATTAAAAGCTTCATTTTATCTAACTTTATGTTTTGAGAGCTCTTATTTCTACAATATTAAATTTCTTAATTATTTAAATGTGCTCAAAATAACACTGAATATCAAAAAGTTATTCAAATCTCCCAGATATTTCGAGTAGAACGGCAATTAACCTGAATGTTATATATACGTACGTTTAGTCAAATTAAAGCAAAGACTGTGAAATACAGACTTCGTTAACAACATACCAGATGATGTACAAAATTCATAGAGTTGCCCGTTACATCACAGCCGTGTTGTAGAGATATTGCTTCCTGCAAAAAGCGACATATGGAATCAACAACTAAATGATAGGCACATGAATGCGTTGATAGGATTTTCAATCGTCAAACACGACTCTAGTCCGTGTCAGTCAGAAGCTCAGTAGGCCTTGACACGATGATACTTGCAAAATCTCACATGCCTATTTTATTGTTTTTATTATTTTTATTATCGCTGGATTTCACACTGTATGTTTGGTACAAGTATGGAATTTTCAGGCTGTGATATCTGTAGCCCACATTTTGCAGGCCATTCATTATTATTAGGTGTTAGTCGGCATGAGATCGAAGCCCGGATCACGTGCATGGTCACCAAGATTCCTAACCGCTATGCAACCGACACACAGGGTATACTTCAGTGACTTTATGTGTGTATCGATCTGGCTGTTTGTCTATCTGTCTATCTATCTATTTGTATGTGTGTGTGTGTGTCAGCTGCATGGTGATCAGTTTGTCGAGAATGAATGAACGAGGAGAGTTTTGAGTCGTTGATTGAAGGGACATGTGAATTAGTTAGTAAATAAGTATGTTCGTAGTCAAGTGATTGTAAAATGCCTGATTTCGATAATCATCATCATCACGTCGCTTACTGAATAATCTGTGAGAGACTGAGGGATAGAGGGAGCGAGCGAACATTATATAGGGCGAAAGAGCAGATAAAGAGACCTGAGAATGCATTGAATTGATAGTAGAAATTTACTTGCTCCTTGATTATCTTAGTAATGATGAAATGGTGTGCTTGTTTTCATTTATCACTGATTGTATATGAATTATTTATATGTTAGCCTTCACACCATGATGGATATTTATGGGATAGTGTGAATATAAGTCAGAAAGAAGTCAGTGAGTCGGGCAATTTAGCAGTCAGATTTTCACCACATAAAGTGAGAACTTATGAGCAGGAGAGTGAATGACAACAGTGATCGAGTGGTGATTTTTGGTGCTGACTAAAGGAAGCACTGATTTCGGCCAGTCAAGCCTGCATCAACACTGACCAATCCATGATAAAATAATTTCGTTTGAACAAAAATCGAACACTGATACAGTAATAAATAATTAATTAACTACTGTTGCTTGCATTATCAGATGAATTTCTTCATTGCATTGTGGAATCCAATTGTACTGCACCACACTGTGTGCATATGCTCTACTCACCTGTAATGTACTATAACTGCCTAATAATTAATGTGACTCGGGACTTCAGTGGATTATGATTCTTCACTGTCACCTTATGTTGACTAGGTGGTGGTTGCAACCGATTAGACGGAAAGATAAGCTGATGGGAGAATTCATGTCTTCGCTACTGAAGAGTAAAGAAAGCCTGACGATGTATAAATGATGTCAGTGATGCACTGCTCGCTCGGTGAATGCCTACATAGCTCAGTTGCAGTGAGAATGCAAGTTTGCCGGCTTTCTGATGGATGAATTTCAATTCAGATTAGATGAGATGAGGTGATGGTGATCTCGTGTCTGCCTGGTGAAGGCATTCAGCGAACTGATACAAGCTACATAGAAGTGTGAAGACACCAAGAATAGTGGATAAATATGATGACTGATGAATGATGATTCATCATTGATTGCGATTCAGATGTCAGGAATTCGTAGTAGAACTGTACTACTATAAGAGAAGAATACATGCAACAGTCAAAAGAGTCTGTCTCTCCAGTAATGAATACTGAAGTCTTGTCTGATTATTAGGATGTGGAGAATAGAGAAGGAGTGAGATAGACAGAGAAAGAGAGAGAGATTGATGAATTTATGGGTAGAAATGTGGCCATAGTGAGTGAATGAGCGTGATTCAATCGGTGTTTATATGTGTTTGTGCTTGTGCACGTGTGTATTTAGCGTGTTGGAGAAATCCTCTCCCTACGCCTTTGAGCCACAGCCATTATCCCTCCATTGACCTATCAAAACATAACCAACTGATTACTTCTACACTACCGCTTACTTATATTTTCTACCCCTTTCTTATTGTCCCTTAATCTTATTACATGTGTTTCATTTACTACCCTTACAATCTAGAAATAAAACAATTAATCCATTTGATAAATTTGAATAGGGCATTAAGAAGACAAATTTCGCGAGATGAAGTCATTTTTCAGTTTCTTTACAACCGCTTTACAAATAAGATTGTTAACAATTATAAAAGAAAGATCATGACAACTACTTAGCTAAGTAAAAACTAAAAGTACATGCCAATGACCAAACATATTTAAATAGGCCATGTATTCCATGTTGGGCGAAGGTTGAAGTCTCTTATTTTTGCAATCACAGTTTAGGATGTGTGGGATTATAATTTAATAATTCCCGTTGTAGCATTAAGAACACAATATTCAGCGAAGAGACTCTTTACAACAACGAATTTATTATCAAATTGAATTTTTGATTTTCCCGTCGATTGATTGGACCGAAGTGCTCGGTCTCAGGTTGACATGTGGGCTTCTTGTGCAGATGCTTCGACGATGTCTGGGCGTTTAATTAGCACCAATTGAATTTATTATCAAGCTGTACAATCGTATATATATAGTTTTATAAAGAAATTATATCCGGTGTGGGAATTAGGTCAAAGGTGTGAATACATGAAAAAATAATAGAATGAAATGCAATTAAAATATTTGTGATTATAATCATAGTTTAATGTCAAGTGGCAAAATAACTAATGCCATATATAGAATAATACATAAGGTGTATAGATTTTGGAATGAGGTTTGTAATTATAGGATTAGTAGACGAATATAAAATGTTACATAACATGGTGTGAAATTTGATAAGATAGAATTCAGTATTGTAAAAATAAAAGTATACAAATTAATAATTTTGAGTTTAAAATGTCAAGTGGGTCAAGTGGAAAAGATTCAGAGTGAGAACAGTAATAGTAATAATAATAAAAATAATCGAAGTAATGAGGGAAAAGTACATAGAATAACTAGATAAACAAAATAAATTTTATTATTATCATTATTATTATTACTATTCTCACTCTGAATCTTTTCCACTTATCCACTTAACATTTTAAACCCAAAATTATTAATTTGTATACTTTTTATTTTCACAATATTGAATTATATCTTATCAAATTTCACACCATGTTATGTATGTGATTAATCCAAAGTGCTTTCATCACCTCCAATAACCTTGAGTTACAGTTATGTGAAATAATTATATCATATTTATTTAACGAAATATTCCCAGATTGAGTCATAAGAAAAAGGCACAAACAGCCAAAAAAATTTTCTTTTTGATGATTCATTTTCATGAGCTGTACAATCGTAATTATAATTAACATAGAAATCTTTAGACCAATCAGATACTGGTAAACTTTGTCCTTGAAAAATTGTAATACATAATGTAAGGTGTAAGAAGGGATGACTAACTGTAAGTTAGAAAGGAGACAGAAGCTGGCATGACCTAATAAGTGTGAGACAATAAGTGACCAATAAGCTGGTGTAGAATGAACAGGAACTATCGGAAAGGCTATAAAGTAGTTTTGTATAAGCTCTGTGTGAAAAAGCAATGTTATTAATAAGCAGTAATGGAGTGGTAATAAAATGTGGATGATGGGGGTAGTAATAATAATAAAACTATTAAGGATAATAATAATAATAAAAGTGAACTTACGTATTAAAAGAAAGGAGCAAAATTAAAGTAAGAAATATACTCTAACCATGGTA